CATATGGACCCCAAATCACTGCCAGAACTGATCTCTGAGCACAGAGCCAGGAGTAAGCCCCAAGTACAGCTGGTTGTGGCCCCTTAACCAAACACCACAAAAATAAGAAAAACAGTAATACATAAACAGTGATTTGTTATGTGTCTTTAAATGCCTGAGACCCAAAATTCTAATTAGTGTGCAAGTATTTTAAAAGTAAATGTTCACTTGGGGGTTGGGGGATGCATCTTCCTGAGCTCAGGGCTTACTCCTGGCTCTGCGCTCAGAGCTAACATCTAGCTCTGTGCTCATAAGTCACTCCTGGCAGGGCTTAGGGGACCATTTACAGTACTGGGATCAAATCCAGGCTGTCTGCATGCAAGACAAGCACCTTACCTGCTGCACTGTTGCTGCAGCCCCTGAGTTTAGTTCAAACACATTGACTGAGCGTTGATACTTTAACATTTGGGAAATGCAGCTTCACAGCTCTGTATGTGTAAGTCTCATCAGCAACAGCAGTAAATGAGAAACACCACCAACAAGGGATGTTTCCAGACTTGCTCACCACGTGCCATTCTTGCTGGCCTGAACGAATATCTCAGTGTTGTTTTGATCTGCATTTCTCTAATCGTGAATGATGATGAGCATTTTTTTCAAATACCTCTTGGCCACATGAAAGTCTTCTTTGGCAAAATGTCTGCTCATCTCCTTGCCCCATTTTTGGGTGGGGCCTATGGATATTTTGTTGTTGAATTCTGTGAGTGCTTTATAGATTTTGCCTAACAACCCTTTATCTGTTGGATTGGGTCAAATCTTTTCTCCTACTGCTTAGGGTGGTTTATTTTGTTTGCTTGTTTGTTTGTTCTGTGATAGCTTGAGACAACCAGTTCATCTTCACCTCATAGATCTGAGTAAATTAAATCAGGAGTGGAACTGACTCTTCCCACTGCTCAGCTTTCAAATCGCAAGGTGTTGCTGTCCCAGTGCATCTCAACCCAACGTGTAGGTACCCTTTTTGGGGACTGTCCTGTCCGCCCAACAAAGCTCTCCTTCTCCTAGATCCAGGAATGTCCACCCCTCCCCCCTCTTCAGTCCTTTGCCTGCCCAGCAGGGCATGTTCCTGTGATTCCTGGGTGGGATTTTGCCATTTCCCTCTGAATATTCTTACTGCTTCCTCCATGCACTCAGAGTAGACAACACTGTCTCATGGCTCTGGGTTCACTGCCTGTAGGTCCCCAGGTGTCCTTCTCCCCCTCCATGCAAAGACCAGTTGTATGTCACTCAGATCCTCCCCCAGCCTATGCCTTGTACTTCAAGATATCCACACGAGTCCGTCTATGTTTGCATGTAACTCCAGCCCTGGAGTTATGTGGCAAACAGCAGTCAGTTGGGGGAGGCCAAGGGTCACATTGGTTTGCACATGGTGTATTTAGTGCTTCTCCCAATACCTTATAACATGGAATACAAATAACTCCCAACCCTGAAAACTTGCTGAATAGCTAATTCAATTAAAAAAATTGTTGGTGTTTGGGTCACACCTACTGGTGCTCAAAGACCACTCCTGGTGGTGCTCTGGGGATCATGCAGTGAGTACCAGGGATCTAACTTGGACCAGCTCTATATAAGGCAAGGGGCTTACTTCCTTTCCTCCCTCTCTGGCCCTCCTAACATAGCGCTTATATAGGACATATCCAAACCAGACACAGGTGAAAACTGTTGATGCTCCTTTAATACTGTGGGCTTAGGGACTCCTAACAGACACTGAAGTTGTTCAGGGCTGTCTGGACATGCTTCCATATATAAAAAAATGATGCCTGTCAGAGATTTCACATGGGCACAGGGCCATGCTATAAAGACAAATGTGTGTATGTCATTTCCTGGGCTAGGTTGGCCCCCCTGCTCCAGAGACCTGGACTCATCCCAGATTATTTTGTGATGGTTCCTTTTTGAACTACACAGGCGACACTAATAAAACTCCACTTTGGCTAGGTCAGCAGGGCGTGTGTGCCAGGAGCTCAGGATGATTTTGTTGGAGGCAAGAACAGGCCCTTGGGGTGATTCACAAAAGAATTTATGAAGGCTCTAGAGACCTCTGAACCCCAAGCGAGATTTTATTGATTGGAGAAGCTAAAGAGCAGAGCGCTGAGGCCCGGGGGTGATAACTTTCTTTCCTTTTACTGTGCTTTGGATTTTGGACCACACCTGGTGCTGTTTAGGGCTTATTCCTGGCTCTGTGCTCAGGGATCACTCCTGATGGCACTTGGGGGATAAGGTACAGTGTTGGGCATTACACCTAGGGGGGTCATGTGCAAGGCAAGCATCTTACCTGCTGGACTATGGCCCTGGCCTTGGTGCTGACTTCCATGACACTGGCAACAGAGGGGCAGAAACTGCGTCAAGGATGGTCTTTCCTGGGCAAATCCAACCCCAGGATCTGGAATTGGGTCTCCTCCTTTTTATGGTCAATGGAAATATTGTTAAGGTTTGTAGGGGGCCTGGGTTAGGGGAGCATTGCTATCTAAAATGAAGGGAAGCTGGACTCGGCTTCACTGTGGGTTCCAAATTTCACTGGGGATAAGGCAGTGGGGGTGCCAGCTTTGTAGAAGACAGGAGGGGCTAGGGAGGTTTTTCAACTCTCCCTCTGGATAGTAGGGTCTGGGAGCTGGGCCTGGTGGAGACCCTGGCTGCCTCTTTTGTAGCCGGATGGATTTCTCCCCTCTTCGGGGCATTTCCATCACGTCTAGGTGAGCTGCTCCTGGCTCTGGCCATTCCCTTCATCCCAGCCATGGCTGTCTCTGTGGTTTGCCCCTGATCATCCTGGGACATCACATCAGCATCCTTGGGGCCTGATGTTTGTGCCTGCCCACCACCACCTTGGACAGAGAAGTCCAAGGCAAAGAGAGCTGGGCAGTAACAGGCAGTGAGGGCCAGGGCAGTGTGTGAAGGAGGCGGTGGGCCTGTGAATGCTTCACTCACACATGCACATGTGTACACACACATGTGCACACACTCGCATACTAACACATGATCTAACACATAAACCCTACAACATGCACCACAATCACACAGCAAATGCACACACACTCACATATCCACTTTGCACACAGGGCTCAAAGTTGGAAAAATCTTAGCACACATTTGGCGACCGCTGACATCAGCCTCACTCTCTCAGGCCTAAAGTGTCGCCTTGGTCCATGCTAGTCATGGTTAATGGCATAATGTCCAGCTCAGAAAGTGACAACAGAAGAAATTATCTGCAGAAGTGCTTGAAATGGTTGACTTTATGTTTCAACTTGACAGGGCTGTGGAGTGTTCCAATATATGGTGAAATATTTGGGTGGGCTGTTTATAGATGAGATGGACATTGGGCAGATGAGTGGACAATTGCTCTTCCCCAAATGGTGGGGGGCGGTGTGTCTATAGAATAGAAAGAAACAGAATTATAGAAAGAAATGGAATAAAACCATTCCTCTACCGCCCTCGTGCTGGGACATGGGTCTTCTCTGCAGGTTGGAACTTACACCAAGAGCTTCACTGGGTGTCTATACTCAGGGCTTCTTAGTTCTCATAATCACAATTACTTAGGATACATCAAACTGTCTATCAATCATCTATATCCAGCATCTCTCTGTCTTCAATCACCTGTGACTATCTGTCAGAACCCATGCATTTCAACCCTTAGTGAATATCTATGTATCTATCATCTATCAATCTGTCTCCCTGTCAGAATTCAGGTAATACAGGACATCCATGGACAAGAAAAAGTCATTTGTGTGTATGTATTATTCTTTCAAGTTTTAGTGATGATCTAGGGATATCTCTACCCAATGAATTGTCACTGAGTCCTGGTAAATGTTACCTCCATGTTCAGTGCCACACAGAGAGATCAGCCTCAGAAACCCTCTAGCATAATCCTATCTTACATGTTTTAGGGCATTGGTGTGATTTTAAGTATACCACTGACTCTTGGAACTGAAAGAAAGAAAAACAACAATGATAAGAGTTACCAGCTGACATTTAGGTAGGTACCTTCTAAAGAAACCAAAAGTTAGCATGAGTGAATGCTAACCCCATGACTCCAAGAGAAAAGGACAAAGTCTGGACACTTTGGCCTCATTAGAAACAAGACAGAAACTCTGAAACTGCAAAGAGGGAGAAAAATCTCTCTCTGTTCCAGTTCACATCAAAGCCATCTGTGCCCTTGCCAGTGACACTTACTTAGTTTCCCTCCTTCCATCTGCTAGAAAAAACTCACCAATATGTGTAATCTCTAAATTGTCTCTACTTCCCATGGGAACCCAAGCCAACCATCTTGCTTCCCAAAACCTCCTCAGAATCACCCATTTCTGCCCAAAGTCTATAGTCACCCTGAGTTTTGCTGGCAGGAGCTTGACCTTCATGCACATGACCTCCATAATCTTCAAGCTGACCAGTGTTTGACTACAGATGAGCTCTGATAGTCTCAGGTGGGGAAATCTGGCATTAACCTGTGTGAAGAAGTGGTACTTATTCAGGATTATGTTTTTCAGAAAAAGCAAGGAAGGTAAAGTAAGCAGCTAATACTGAAATTATTGAGAGAATCTCAGTATCAAACCAAGTGACTCACTAAAATGTTTAAGAGGGGAAAAAACTCACAACATTGTCACAAATAGAGAATGAAGAGGATGGAAGAAGAAGCAAACCGGCAGAGAGGAGGAGCAGGGGAAAGCAGGAAAGTATTAGCTGGTCACTGGTCCAGCAACGCGGGTTTCAGAGGCAATGAGATCATGAACCCCAGGGCAGATAAAAATGTCCAGCAGAGATTCAACTCATTTCACACTCTGTCATCACACTCTCATTATCACCATATTCAGAATCACTGGCCATAACCATCAACCAAAATCCCAGCTGCATGCCAGGGAGCATCAGATCTGCAGAAGCCTATACCGGCCGCCCAGCCCAAGGCAGTTGGTCCCACCAAGCGAATTCTGTGTTCGCTCACTGTCCCCACAAGCACGGGCGAAGGACCCAGGGGAGCTTACGTTGAGCTGAAGCTCATCTGTCCACTGTCCAATCAGACGGTAACCGGGGTTGCTGGTGTTTGTTGTCTGGTACTGAAAGATGTCGTAGCGTCCTGGGGCATCCCCATTCTTGTTGAACATCACGGGGGTCCCCGCACTGCCTGGGGAAGGAAGATAAGACAGTGATAGACAGCACAGTAGCCCAGCTCATCTATCCCCACCCCCAATCGTGGGGTGGGCTGGAGACCCACTGGGAACCAGTGAACTCTAGGTCTCTAGGTCACCCCAATATTTAAGAGGCTCCTTCCACTGCTGGGCAGGTAAACCCAGGGTCTGAGGATCCAGCCACCTCCCCTTTGGACACATTACTTGACAGTTCTCTAAAGTCGTATTTTCCCCCTTCTTTTTTATTTGGCTTTTTGGTCACACCCGGCAGTGCTCAGAGCTTTCTCCTGGCTCTGCCCTCAAGAATTACTCCTGGTAGAGCTTGTGGAACCATACAGGAAGCTGGGGTTTGAACCCAGATCAGCTGCAGGCAAACACCCTGCCCATTGTGCTATTGCTCTGACCCCAGTACTCTTCCCCCTCTTAGGAGAATTAAAAAAATTATTGTATCTTTAAAGCGACAAATACTATTTTGGTTACCATTGTTGTTATTTTTCATTCCACTGGACTAAATAGTGTTTCATAAAAGACAACCTGGCTTTGGTACATCTACATAATGGGATACTATGCAGCTGTTAGAAAAGATGAAATCATGGGGGCTGGAGCAATAGCATAGCGGGCAGGGCATTTGCCTTGCACGTGGCTGACCCGGGTTCGATTCCCAGCATCCCATATGGTCCCCCGAGTACTGCCAGGGGTGATTCCTGAGTGCAGAACCAGGAGTAGCCACTTTGCATCTCCGGGTGTGACCCAAAAAGCAAAAAAAAAAAAGATGAAGTCATGAAATTTACGTACAAGTGATTCTACATGGAAAATATCATGCTAAGTGAAATGAGCCAGAAAGAGAGGGACCGACATAGAAAGACTGCACTCATCTGGGGAATATAAAGTAACAGAATGGGAGTCGAACACCCAAGAATAGTTGAGATAAGTACCAGGAGGTCTGCTCCATGGCTTGGAAGCTGGCAGCACATGCTTAGGGGAAAAGGTATTTCAGACAGAGAAGGGAATACCAAGTAAAGGATGTTTGGAGGACTTGCTCGGGATGCGAGATGCGTGCTGAAAATAGACTATAAACTGAACACAATGGCCCCTCAAGACCTCTACTGCAAAGTACAAGGGTGGCCTCTATTGCCACTCAAGACCTCTATCGCAAAGGGTGGGTGGGGGGGGGGTGGGAGGATTAGTGGGATTATTGGTGGTGAATAGGCACTGGTGGAGCGATGGGTACTCGATCATTGTATAACTGAAACCCAAGCATGAAAATTTGTAAGTCTACAACTGTACCTCATGGTGTTTCACTAAAAAAAAAAAAAACACACACACACATACACACACACACAAAAAACACAACCTGGGAGGAGGCTGGGGGAGGGAAGGGGCCACAGACAATAGTGCTCAGACAGAGGCCGCTCCTGGCTCTGCTCAGCCGTGGTCTCTGCCAGTGCTCGGGGACCACAGGCAAGGCCAGAGCCATGTTAGCGACTCAGCTATAGGATGCATAAAACACAATATATATATATATATATATATATATATTACACATGTTACATACATCTATATGCCTAAGTCACATTATGAAAAACAATTTAAAAGGGTATGTCGAATGAATTCAGAATAAACACACAAGCAAAAGTTTAGTTTCATCTATACTTGGATGATGACAACATTTACAAATTGTTTTGGGCCCACACCTGGCAGTGCTCAAGGCTTACTCCTGGTTCTGTGCTCAGGAATTTTTGCTGGCAAGGTATGGAGAGACCATAGGGTTGTCAGGGATCGATCCTGGGTAGGCACATGCAAGGCAAGCACCCTACCTACCTACCTACTGTTGCTCAGTTCCCCACATTTAATTTTTTTTCTGATTGCTTTCGATTTACTTTGTATGAGAATCCATATAAATTGCTTATCAGTGTCTGGTAAACATTTAATAAATATTAATTTTTCCTCTGTCTCCAAGTTGGGCTTTCTTTGAAGTATCTGTCTAAAGGAAACATATCTGCTACCAGTAGGGTGGGTCTTCTGTGTGTAATCCCTGGGTCACTGGAGGTTGGTGGAAACAGACAGGGCAGGGTAGGGTGGGGCTTATGAGTTTAATCCCTTGGTCTCCTGATTTGGTGGGAGCAGGCAGAGGATTTCTGTTCCTGGGTCCTGTTGAGACTGGAGTCCAAGGTCACAGAGTTCCGAGTTCCACTTACCTGGTTCTGTGGGACTTTACTCGTGCATGGGTCTCAGCCCGAGCATCCGGAAAGCATCCTGGAGTGTAGCAGTGGCTGGGTAGTGGAGGTAGTGGAGATAGACCTCCATTACCTCCACTACCCAGCTGCCGCCATGCTCTAGGAGCTTTCCAGACACATCATAAGACAATTAATACCGATCTTCCAAGATTACCGCACCATATTTGATAGGGTTGAAATATGCTTTGAACCATTGGAACACCTACAAGGGTGACTAAAGGTCATTTTAAAAGCCTCTATCTCTCTTGGAGAGCCTGGCAAGCTACCAAGAATATCCCACCCACACAGCAAAGCCTGGCAAGCTATCTATGGCATATTCGATATGCCAAAACCAGTAAATACAATGGTTCTCATTCCCCTGACCCTGAAAGAGCCACCAATATGGAAGTGTTAAGAAGGATAAGGAAGGAGAGGCTGATAAAATCTCAAGGCCAAACTAGGCGGCCTAAACAAAGAGGGATAAAAATGACTGTATGTATTTTCAATGCAAATACACTGGCATCGGATGCGTCCATCGAGGACCTGATGGTACAAGCGCGAAAGATCTAGTACAACATCATTGGTCTGACGGAGACAAGAAGGCATCAATCACATCACACTGTTTTTGACACTGGAGAAGAACTGTTCCTCTGAACATGCGACAAAAGAGGCATCGGTAGTGTTGGTGTCATTGTCAACACGAACTTGGCCATGAGCATTGATTCATTCAAATGCCTAACAACCCGAATCAGATGACTACACTTGAATAGATGTGGCTCACTGCTGGCAGTTTCTATCTTCGTTGTCTATGCACCAACATCCAATTATGATGAAGGAGAAATTGAGAAGTTCTACATGGAGCTGGAGAAGTTCTATAAAGAAAACCACACCTTCTACAAGATAATTGTCGGTGATTTTAATGCCAAGATAGGACCGAGAAGATCAGCCAAAGAACTCCACATTGGGATCCGTGGCCTAGAATGGAACAAACAGGATGAAAGACTGTCTGATCATGTCGACCAGCACCATCCATGGTAACTCACAGTTCCAGAAGGCCAAATCTAAACATTGGACATGGGAGTCTCCTGGTGGATGGTTCCACAATGAAATTAACCACATCATATTCAATCGACGATTTTGCCTGATACACTGTTGTTCCAAAATTCCAAACGGGATCAGACTACCCTTTCCTTCATGCAAAATTCTACTTCACAGAGCAGGGAGAAAGGGCTGCAAAGTTCAAGAAGAGAACTCCCAGAATGACCAACAACTGGGATCTCTTTGACACTATTGTGGCAACATGGGAAGTTGCCATTATTGACAACATTGACGAGAAATACAATTGACTGGTTCAGCAACTCCATGATTGTGCAAGGAATGCCAAGAGAGATAGCCACAAAAAGACTCCTGTCTCTGAAGACTCTTGAGCTCATTCATGAACGTGGCTTGGTGTAAGCCTCAGGCAACCACAAGTGAATGTCCGAGCTCGCAAAGCAGTGCAGAGACTCGATCAAGGAAGACCTCAAAGAGAGAAGAGCAGCAGTGTTGGCAGATGTGGCAGAAGCCGGGAAAAGCATTCGCAATGCCCCCCTGTCCTTCGCCAACTACAAGACCAAGATGACTGCCCTTCAACATCCTGATGGATCTCTCACATCTTCCAGAAGGGCAATGGAGATGATTATCCAGGATTTCTTCTCGGATCTCTTCGATAGCCACATTCACCTGCCCACATACCAAATTCCAGGATGGATATGTCATTCCCAACGTTCTCCCTTCCAAAATCCGACATGCCATTTCATCGGTAAAGAAGTGAACAGCACCCGGCCCGGAGAAGGTCAGAAACGAAGTGAGGTTCTGAAAAGGATTCAGCATGATCGACCATATCCATATGATAACCAAACTCATTGAGGTTTCTCAGGATTTCAAGATGCTGCTTTGCTAACATTCATTGATTTAAAGAAGGCCTTTGATTCTATTGATATGGAAGTGGTCACTGAAGCCCTTGCCAAACTCAATACATCAGAATCCTCCATGAGCTGTATTACGGATTCACTACCAGGATTTTACCATTCTACACGGAAGTGATCATCCATGTCAAGCGAGGGGTTCGTTAGGGTGACAGTATTTCACTGAAACTCTTCAGTGCCACCCTCGAGAAAATCATGCAACAACTGGAATGGGAAGGAATGGGAGTGAAGATAGACGGTTGGAAACTGCACCACCTCTGCTTCATTGATGATATCGTTCTAATAACACCAAACATTAGCCAAGCAGCCCAAATGCTGGCGGACTTCGACCATGAGTGTGGAAAAGTCAGCCTACAGCTGAATCTCATGAAGACAATATTTATGAGAAACGATCTCATTCCTGACATTCCATTCGCTCTCAAAGGAACAAACATCTCCAAATGCAACAGTTATGTGTACCTAGGTTGAGAAGTCAACATGACGAATGAACTTGCACCTGAGTTGTGCAGGAGGAAGAGAGCAGTTTGGAACGTCTTCAAGATAGTCGAAGAAATAGCTAAGAGGAAAAAGAACCTCTGGCTCTGGGCACATCTTTTTGATTCCACTATTGTTCCTGCATTAATATACACCTCAGAGAAAATGGGCCCTATGAAAACAGAATGAGAACACTATTCAGGTCTCCCAAAGAGGAATAGAAAGAGCTATGCTTGGAGTATCATGCTTCACTCAAGTGAGAGAAAAAATCTGGAGTGCCTACTTTCATGGACGATCAAGAATTAGGGACGCTGTCTCATTTGCCAAGGCATCGAAAAT